TTGTCTTGAAGCCCCTCTGTGTCATTTCTCAACTGCTGCTGCTGAGTTGCTTTGTTCTACTGGTGCATGAATTCCAGCTGATTCCCACAGGATGAGGCCAGTGTTGTGCTGAGTTCCCACTGAAGTCACAGGTGTGGTGTTGTCCCACAGGGTTAGGTTGCACGGGGGGGGAGCCTAATTCATGCTTTTGCAGCAAATGGACAATTTTTACAGTTCTCCATTGTTTCTCCTTTTAAATATCTGTTTCTTGTAATGTTAGGGTTTGTTTCTATATCTGCCATAGGCCTGGTGGAATTCTGTCAATGGCTTCCCTGTGTCCGGCCCTCATGTAGCATGATTCAAGTAGATGTTATAAGCCTACACATACAGATACATGCATTACACACATAAAGAGGCACTACATCGGGGTTGTCAACCAGGGGTACACTGCATCTGGCTACAGGCCGCCCTTCTCTCCCCGCATCCTCCCACTCAGCGTCTGGCTGTGCACCACTCCTTCTGCCCTGCTCTGCAGCTGGGGATGCGCTGCCCTGTGTCTGGCTGCTGGGGTGTACAATGATCTAAAAAGGATGATAAACCCTGGACTACATCATGGGAGAAATCTCTGCATGGATCTTACAGCTGTATCATTGGCATTGCTCAGAAGTTAATAGTCCCTTCAGTTCATGACAGCCCGAGCGCTTCTTCTTCATCTTCCAGTTCCAATAGATTTTACCTTGAAGACTTGTGAGGCAAAACTATACATGCTGTCCTGGGGCAGGATGGCAGAGCTGTTATTGGGTCTTGCTATGGATCTGGAGGCATCAACTCAAGTCCTGCTCTAAACTTGTATGAAAGGTAGCCCCAATCGACTCAGCTGTCAGTGGGTACCTGGTGATTCAGGCTGGGGAGTTAAAGTCACTTAGACAGGATGTTGATTACATCCCTCCCATGTTTGCCATTGGCTACAGAAGCTGCTGTATCTAAAACACATTAGGTTGATGGGCAGCTGTGCTCAGATGAATCTTTTGCCTTTTACTTGACTGGGTCTATAAGGCTAAGTAGAGCAGTCCAGAGAGTCAGTCATTTTATAAGTTACTTGGCAATATTCTACCCTCCATTCACTCCTGAAGTTTCGTTTCATAATGGAGATCAGCTGTCAGTCACATTGACATCTTAAGCCAGTCAGATACAGTAGGTATTCAGGTATGGAGAGCTTGTAGATCAGTGTCATTTCACGGTGGAGGAGGTAGAGTTTTGAGGTATCGGTTTTTCCCCGTCCTCTGGCCAAGACAGAGATGATGTTCCTGTTCTCTAGTTAGTTTACACTTAAGATCAGGTACCATGGGATTTTCCGGAAGTGGTTTTTTAAGAAAGAATTTGTTGTACTTAGTTATATAAATATGCCCTTTGATTGTATACAGTACTTGTTAAAACTAAATAAATGTTAGGGAAGCATGGATTATTTCTTAAGAAATACAAACAAAAGCCACTATCAAACCAGGACTAGCCCATGGCTGTTTGTTTATAGAGATGATACTGAGAGATCATCTGTAAATGTAAAACAACTTTTTTCAGTTCTTGAGAGGGGGAAAAAATAAGTTAAAGATTTACTGCTCCATTTCTACTTCTTGGGAGCAGGCACTTGGCATAAAAGAGGTTTGAAAATCTGGGCCAGAACGCCATGGTTAAAGTTAGGTCCCATGGTCTCTAATTGGGCATGTAAGGATTTATAGCCTTAACTGGCCCTTTACAATAACCGTGGCTATTGTGCTCAAACAAACTGTCTGCCATGGCCTCCTCAGGGCTCCATGCTGCATTGGCCTGTTGCATACAGATGCAGGTGCTGTAGGGCAGTCTCAGATCAGGATCAGAAAACTAGTAAGTGCCTCCCTGTCTGTCCAGAAAGGGGAAGGCCTGGGATTTTTCCCACTATCATCCAGCTTTTAGACATAAAAACAGCCCATTATACAGGCTGCCATAGTGAAGAGCCTGCACCCTGCCTGGTTTTGTAAGATGCATTTTCTGCATCCTCTTCATGCTCTGCACCCCAATTTTGCTCTCTTCTCTTTACCTTGGTGCCCTCTGGCTTTTTCCCCCTCAAAGGTCTTGGTTTGTCTCTACCCCTGTGCAAGTTCTGAAAAAAACCTTTGTTTCTGCAAGCTTGGCTTCCCCTAAGCCAGTTCCTCTCCTGCTCCTTCTCTGCTCTCAGGCTCTGCTTGAGTACCTCTCTCCACACCCATTTTCTCCCTACCCTGTGGCACTGCTTCAGTATATGGAGTCTGTCTGAGCTGGCACAGTTACTGTCTTCTGGCCCCTGTTTCATAGTTGTTAGGGTCGGAAGGGACCCAAGCAGATCATCAAGTCCGACCCCCTGCCGTGGCAGGAAAGTGCTGGGGTCAAATAGTTCCATACCAATAACTGTTGTAACAGTCTCAGGGCCATGAGGTGACTGCAAACTGGATGGGAAGTGGGGGGGGGTGGTGTTTGTGTATGTACGCATGTGCATACAACCACAAGGATTGGGGGATTCTTGTGAGTGGGTACAGAGAGGACATCTTTTTCAATACCAGCTGTACTGTGATAAGGTTTGAGAGCATCTCCTGTGACCATTTTTAAAGACCAGGCACATCCAGAAAATGTGCTGTAAGAATGGCATCAGTTGGCTCTATATTAATTCCACCAGTGACATCCATTAAATCCAAGTTGGCAGAGGAATTTTCTCATCACAGCACTCCAGATGCAGCCTGCTGTCTGAAAGCCAAGCTCTGTTTCTTTCTCTGCTCCCTGCAGCCAACAGTGAAGGCTGTGGTATAGGAATTCAGCTGGCAGAGTGGTAGAGCAGGGGCAGGCCAGAACGTTTTCTCCCTGCCTTTATTGGCCTTGTCATGCTGATATGACTACCGTGGCAGCGTAACCCAGACAAACATGCTCTGATAGAATGGCGCACACCCAACGTGACCATTTACATTCTGGCCATGCTCTGATTTTGCCAATGTGAGAGAAAGTGTAAAACTTGTCTTTAGTGTTAGGGCTGTGAGTCCCTCAGGTACAGGGACCCTGTACTGTGGCATACTGTGACTGGGAGCCCCCATCAGGTTTGATGGAGCCCATGTCATACCCTATGGTTGTATGCAGACACCAGAGTCAGGTGTTAAATTCGTATGAGCAAATTCGAATGTACAAATTAGTTATTTTGTGTTCAGATGTCCAGCTCTTTCTCTGGAGCACTGAAGAAGCAACTCCACTTGCAGCCAGCTAGGAGCTGAATGGGCACACACACAAACAGGTCTGATGTCCAAAGCATATCTGTCCAAGAGTGACTTACACATGTGTTATATGCTAACCTGCATAATGCATGTGTATATGTGGAGTCTTCAGAATCCAGTAAGCAAATCTCACTGAGAATTAAATCCATTGCTGTGCTAGCCTAAAGCCCACAGGTTATTTCAGCCCTCCAAATGGAGCCTGAGGAGCATGGGCTTAGGGTAGACCTACACCCAGAGAAAGCTTTGACATTAGCAGAGCAGAATCAAGACTGTTTCTCTGCACCACCACTTAGTCAATGATCATTCTTAGGAAACAACTCAATTCATGTTTGGTTTTTTTTCTTGTAGTTTTGCTATCTGAGGTCATGAACTCCAGAAACACCTGCCAAGCAATTGGGGCAAGGTTATTAGTAGGGTAGATATTAATTATACAGTGGAGTTCAGAATATAGAGAAAGGATAAAAAATTACTAGCACTTTTTGTCAGAATACTTCTGTTGGATAGATAGATTCTGACAATTGACAGCACAGTTTGTGTGTACAATATGATTACCTGGTCCTATTCCACAGAACAGTTAATTCCCATCAAAACCCTTTTTTTTCTTTTTTTCTTCTTTGTAATTGGTTCACTTATTTTCAATCGTAACTGAAGAAAAAAAACTTTGCTCAAGGAACAGTTATTCACTATATGGACAATACCACTTCGCAGCAAACTTTTTACTGTAAAAAAAACAGGAGGAAGAAAAGGTTGTTTCCACATGAACGGATTATTTTCTTTGCTTGTGTTAAGTAATGACCTGCAGCCAGTAAGTAACTTCTCCTGTCTCCCTTATATGACCTGTCGTTTGAGAGATCTCTCAGGGGTTCATCTAAAGTTTGAAAGCAAAGGAATCCTTGGCCCTGAAGCCTGCTTGAACCATGTGTCTTGTTTTTGTGGATGTGTGACAGGTTTGTAAAGCTGCATTTAACCAGAACTAAAACTTTGGGGGAAAAAAAGAAGGAATCTGCATTTTCTTTTAAGCAGTTAATGTGGGCTGGGCTGTTCCAAAATCTGGTGTGTTACAAAGGGTCACAGCTTGAAGGAAAAATGATTTCAAGCCAGGTGAATAAATTCTTGACCTGCTAACTGGTTATGCAACAAAAGTCTTTGTGGCAATTTGGAGTCATGCACAAGAGGACTTAATTGAATCAACGGCTGTGCTCAGTCACAGGGTTTTGCTGACTTCCTAAATTAGGGAAAATACAGGTTAAGAGCCAGCCATCTAACCACTTCCTTTTTATTGCCTTTGCATATTTAATTAGAGTAGCATGAAGTTTCCAGGAAACATGAGAATTTACAGCACTGTCAATTATGACACATGCATTGCAGGGGGAAAGCAAGTGCATGTTGACCCCTCTCCTCCCACGCTTTAATGTGAAATGTCAGTGAGAAGTGCTTGATATGGAGCTACTGAATTCACAGCACAGAACAGCTGAGCAATGGCTTCACATAAAACAAAAGTCTTTTGTGGTTATCTTAGCTGTATGGCTCTCACTGTCTGGAAAGAAATTTCACTTCAGCTGCCCTGGATTTGAGCACTGTGGCCAGTCAGAACAAGGCCGGAGTTTGGTTGATTCTGCGAACGATTCTTACCATTTCCCAGTTGCTTAGTGAGCCACTGACTGCTGTCACGCTGCAACACGCTGTAGTAGCAAACGACTGTGCAACCCACAGGTCACATGGCACTGTTATTTGTTAATGTGTGTTTTACAGGGGGTGATAGCAGACTTGAAGATAAAAAATGATCCCCATGCTGCTGTACTTCAATGTGAGGAGGATGAGGACGATACTGAGGAGGTGAGTGCTTTGCCTTGGGTGATTATGTTAGTTGTGGTTTGCTTACACCAGTGGTGCTCAAGCCCTGGCTCATGGGCTACATCCAGCCTGTAAAACCATGTCATCTAGCACACAGGGCTCCCCCGGTGTCCAGAAATTTGGCGGCAAGGGAGCAGTGGTAGTGTTAATGGCTGCTCTCCTGTTGCCAAATTTCTGGACTTGTGGGCAGCACTGTAGGCCAGATGATGTAGTTCTGAGTGCCAGGTTGCACCAGCTGGTGGCCAGATGTGGGAACACAGGATCAGGCCAGCATAGGCCTGGATCTGGACATGTAGGGTTGGGCCCGTGCAGGGCTGCATCCGGGTGTGTGAAGTCAGGCTGGTGCAGAACCAGACCCAGGCATGAGATTAGGGCTAGCATGTGACCCCACATGCCAACTCCACACAGGATCTGGCCTGTGGACTGATTCTGCACCACTCACCCAGCCCATGGACTCGGAAGGTTGGGCACCACTGGCTTACATCGATCAGTGTAGACCTCTTCCTAAAATCAACTCTCAGCAGGCTGCTTTGGAATTGGTGTAAAATTTAACTCACAGTTTAGGGCCGTGATCTGGTGCCCACATGCCCCTGTGATGAGCATGGGTTCTGTGGGCAGGGGTGTGCAAGGAGCAAATCATGGCTCTGCCCTGCCCCTGCCCCATGCTGTCACTGCTGCCAGCTGCTGGCCCCGGACACAGCTCCCCACCCAGCCATGCACCCTGCCCACACAGCTCCTGGCTGATCTCCATGGGGGCCCTGGTAGCATGGGGCCATGACAGCATGGGGCACAGCTGGGGCCAAGCCCTGGTTCTGCGGCTGTCATGCCCCTGTACTCCCAGGGTCTCCATGAAGGCTGCCCGGAAACTGCACGGACAGAGGCTGCTGGAAAAAAGAGTCCAGCCAGGGGCTGGATCCACGATTTTGCCCACTCTTGGGTTAGGATGTTTTGTTTTTGTTAGACCCCAGTTTCTCCATGGTAGGAAGAAATAACAACAGCCTTATCAACAACGAGAGGAATCTTATGGGGCTGCAAGGATGCTTCGAGATGCATGTGTCCTACAGTGAAGCATAGGTTTATTTTTCTTTGTGAAGGGAATGTAGAGTCCAGTGAAGTAAATTTGCCTTAATTTGAGACCTCAGTCATTTGTGGCTGTATTGTCTGACTTTATGTGCTTCTTTTTTCTCCTCATCCTGAATGATACAGATGTCTGGAGATTTTGGAAGTGGAGCTGAGGAAAAACTCCACTCATCAGGAAAGGAGAGGGTGAGTTTGTGGCTGTGGGGTGAAGGACATTCCTTCATTGCTTCGGTTTTCAGTTCCCTTCTGGATACGCCTCATAAAACTATATTGTTGTAATTTCTTCCACTCTCTGAGTCACGTGTGGGAAGGTAGGAAATCCCCTGACTTTGCTAAAACATGGAACATTGAGGAAACCTGGGGGTGGTTTCCTTGTCTGTTGCCACCTCCACTCCAGCCGTTTTCATTGCCACAGTGGCTTGCACAAAGCAACAAACAGCAGGTGGGAGTTTTTCAGTGTGCTGCCAGTGGCTCTTCTGCCCTTTAAGTCTGTTGCTTGTTTGTGGTCCTGATTTCTCTCTCTCCACAGTAAGGCTGCAGGGGAAGGAAGAGGACTCCTTGTTGATTTAAACAATTGTTCTCTGTAGCATGCTGTCTAATCATGATCTTGATTCTCCGGCCAGTCCCCCCATGCCATCAAAACACAGTGACATAGCCTAGATTTGTGCCAGGTGTCCTGACCCTTTCTCCTGCCACACTGAGCCAGCTAGAGGTTCCATGCACGACTGACTTTACTTATCATCCTAGCTAAACCATTAAAGCATGTGCAACAAATAATTACCTTCCCTTGCTGCCCTAAAGAAGTACATTGGTTTCACAGTTCCACATAGCAGTATCTTAGAGCCAATTATATGTTTAAATTCCAGTTGTCACAACCAGATTTCATCCAGTTCCCAAGAGTCCAAAGACAGTTGCTAAACCTGTTTCCACCACGTGTGCATTAGGGCCTGGAAACAAGCCATTTAACCATAATGCAGTTGGATTTCAGTCCAAACAGTGTCTGGACTCTGGACTGATGGCTGGTAAGGACAGGATAATGATTCAGGTCCCTAATGCTTTGGAGCCACTGATCTGGGTGGATTTGTTTAAGGATTCACTGTTTCCTACTTATGGAGCATTCTGCTTCTGTGCGTTTGGCAGTGCTCATGCTGTGTTAGTCATACCTGACAAGACGCATGTTTTCAACAGAACATCCCTAACTCTGGCCCTGTGATAACTTTCCAAGTGCAGCTCTGTTCAAGAAGTGACTGAGTAGAAATGCTACCACCTTATTTAGCAAATTTGCTCTTCTGAATGTGTTCAGCATCTGATGGACTGGCCTCTACTGACTAAAATACCCTTTCTGCTTCTATTGTTGTTAGCTTTGCAAAGACCGTTTGTGCCATTGTGGGAGAATGAACAGAATATCATTAGAATTGTTCAAATTCCAGTATGAACTTGGCAGGATCTTGTGGCTTTCACTAAAGACCTAATCTACTGGTGCTTTTCTGTTGGTGATGTGCCGGAAGGAAGACACCAGGCTTTCCTGTCAGGGTGGGCTTGTAGGAGGACTTCACTTAAGAAAATATCAGCGCTCTTTTGCCATGTAGGCTGACCTTGCCTGAGCTAAGAACCCCTGAGAGACACTGACCTTGCAGCTCCACAGTGTCATTTATGCAGGCTGACCTTGCATAGTAGGACCATGCTTTCTTGGGGCCTTTCCTGCAGAATGAAAATGTGTTGAATGGAATGAATTAAATAATAGAATTGGTGTGGCCTCTTGACTTGGTGACCACAAGTCATGGATTTTGTTGTATAGGGCCACAAGTGCATGGTTTAATCTCTGGAGCAGGGCTGTTTTATGCATTTTGAGGGTTACTTGTTTGCCAGCTCTGTCTCTCTGTTGTCTGGCCTGACAGTGTAAGATACAGATGATTGGACCACCTGGCAAAGGATAAACGCATGCATTTTTATTGATTTCTTGATTTATTTCTTGGAATTTTTATGCTACCCCTCCCCTCCCCCCAAAATGCTCGTGACAACTTACAATAAAAAGTCTTAAAAACTCATGCTTGATGGATTTTAATGGTCAGACGGTAACAAAGTTTGTTTTGCAGATACTTTCTCACTGTGTAAATTCTATAGATGTTTTTTAAAAAGAGAACTAGAAAAGATAAGCTAGTATGTGCACCTCAACCACTTCAGCAGGAGCTGAACCTGGGACCTTCAAATTTGTAGCCCATCCACCCTGAGTTCAAAGAGCCACTGCTGTCTTCTGGGTAGATCAGCTGCTGAAGAAGGATGTGCCTTTGCCAGTGAACTAGACATGTTGAGACCAGAATTCTTGTTTTCGGGGGTACATTGGCTCATGCTCATAGGGAAAAACCAAGCCTGTGGGTTTGGCACTTTTATTCTGAATTGCAGTGTAGTTGAAATGAATAAAACCAAGGGCTGCCAATGTGGTTTCTATTCCAGCCTTTACCTCAAGTAAGCTTGCACAATGTCTCAGTTAATGTATTTGTAAAATGGGGAAATAATTATACTTGACTGCCTTCTAAGGTTAAATGTGAGGCTTTGCTAAGTAATCAGTGCTATCAAGTGCACAGAGAAACAAACATCAGTTAATGGATGTAAGACCGAAATGTATAAATTGGACTGAATAAATAAGAAAACCTTGATGAGGAACAGGAAGATTATACTACTCCTGTCTTTGACACTGGTACAAGAACTCCTGAAAGTACCATGTCTGGTTCTGATGTCCCCAATTCAGGAAGGATGTTGGTAAGTTGGAGAGGGTTCAGAGAACAGCATGAGAACAATGAACAGTTTGGAAAGCATGCCCTTTAGGGACAGGTTTGAGAAGCTCGATCTGTTTAGTTTACCAAACAAAAGGTCAGGGGGCAATTTGATCACAGCACCTACATGGGGAATAAAATTTTGATGAAGCCCCTCTGCCCAGCAGACAAAAGCATTCTCAAATCGAAAGCTGAAGCTAGGCAAATTCAGAATGTCAGTGAAGGACACATTTTAATGGCAAGGCTACTTGACCGTGGGGACAACAATTTACTGAGGGCTCTGATGGAATCATCATTGACTTTTTTCAAGTCAAAACTAGATGTTTTTCTAAGGGATCTCTTTTAGGTTAAAATGGGATTAACTGAAGGAAGTCCTACAGTCCAGGTTCTACAGGAGGTCAGGGCAGAGAAGCACAATTATTCTTTCTGGCTTTAGAATCAATGGGTGTGTAACTCATTGCTCTTCATACTTGGAACAGCTTCCAGTAAGCAATGAGCCAGATGGCTGTTAATCCCCTGCATTGCTTGGCATTAGGGAGGACTGCTGAGAGCTGAATCATATCAGCAGAGTAGATAATTTTGTTCTCCCACACTCACTTCACTTCTACTCCTTTGTCTTGCTCAGGGGATCCCAACTGTCTCAGGACTCCCCAAACCTCCCCCTGTCACTTCTCCCCCCATTGCTGGCAGGCCGGTGGAGAAAGTCAGTGGGAGCTCTCAGCTGCAGACAGAGCACATCAAAGCAGAAGAAACACCATCAGTATCTACAGGAGGTAAAACTAGACTCTGTCCATTTGGTCTCCCAGCTAGCAAAGAGGTGAAGCAGAGGTGGCATCTGCAAACTTCCTGGGGTGTAGAGAAATTAGAAGGGTCACAAACTCGATCAGCTGCTTTGAGACAAAAGTATAAGACTGTTTCTTCCTAGATAGGAGTTCTCCCCAAGTATTGTCATGAGGGCTGCATAGCCTTTCGTACAGACTCCTGGCTACTGCCTGAGAGAACCTGATAAGTTCATGGATCGTTGGCAAGTTTGTTAAATAGGGCAGTAGCTAAAGTTGCTAAAGTAGCTAACAGTCAAACACTATTGTTTGAATCAGTGAGCTACAACACTTGCCACACTGAGTTTGCTAGTGGTAGGAGTAAAGGAACTCACAAGTCACGTGGAATTTCTTCAGTTTGGGATTTTTTTTAAGCAGTTCTTCAGCTAGCAAAAATAGGACATTGAGAAGATCCATGAAGGAGCTTCTTGCTTCACATGTCTAGTGTTGTTCTGTTTTCACGCGCTTGGTGGTAGCAGCTAGTGTCTGCTTTGTAAATGGGGATCTTGGCTGCGATGGTACCAGAGTAGCCAGCCTTTGTCCTTGTTGTATCATGTGTAGGGCAGAGCATTGCTTTATGACTGCCCTGCTCCCTGTATCCCCAGAGGCAGTGTGTCATTCCATTTAGCGCTCATCTGTCTCCCCAAGTATAATTATACCCACCTTTTGCTTTTCAGACAAGGTTGGTCAAAAAGGTGAAAAGGGGGAGAAAGGAGAACGTGGTCCAAAAGGAGACTCCAGAACTGGTGGGGTTCCGTCCACAGGTGGTGGCAAAGGAGAAAAGGTCAGTGCAGTTGCATGGAACTTTTCTAGCAACTTTATCCAAGGGGATGTAGTTACAATGCAAACTGTAGTGAACTAACCCTCATCAAACCCCAGCTTATGAATGCAGGCAGCAGTTCTGCTTCACTGCAGGAAGCTCAGTAGCTCCATCTCCCTCAGTACCTTGTCTAGCCTTGCCATCTGGGCACCACCCTCACAGACTCCTCACTGCGATTAGTGAGGACCACAGCAGTGCACTTGGCTTTGTATGCTTGGTTTTGTGCAGTGCATGAGACCAGTGGGCCCATATGGATAGCAAAGTGGAATCTGCCAAGCCTGAATGACTTCAGGATCCAGCCTTTGGTTGTGTAGCATGCCGTAGGAGGGAGGGAGAGAGGGATGAATGGCATTTAATTTTACTGTACACTGCTTCTTCCTAGAGCCACATGAGGGAACCCCTGACATGGTTCTACCAATGTTCATGTAGTTCGCATCCAGACAAGCGTTGATGTTTGGTTCCCTGAGGACAAGTAACAGCGGTGCAGTTTGTGCTGCAGCTACTTGTCTCTGGGGAATGCCCATGCCATGTGCTCTTCAGCATGCAGCAAGTTACCCCAGGGGGTGGTAGGGGAGGCTGGAGATAGCACTGGGCTGGCCCCAGCAGCCTTACCTGGGGTCCTGGGGGCCTTCCAGAGCTGCAGCCATGGTGATCCTGCTGGGCAGAGCCTGGCTGGCAGCCACAGCGTGGCTCTGAGTGGCCCAGCTCCACTTTTCAGCAGCATGTGCTGCCTGAGTGGGCTCTGCTCTGGTTTTTTTTTTTTTTGTTTCCTGTGGGTATTTTTTGGACACCTGGATATCCAGCAGTGCACACATGGGCAGTGTGCCCTTGCAGCATGGAGAACACCGGACTGTGTGGTATGTGCGTTGCAAACGTATTTGTGACACCACATACCGCACGGATGGACTCATCTGGATGCGCCTGTAGAGTGGCTGCCACCCATGTCTGGTATCATGGAAAACACATCTGCACCTGCCTCACGGGTAGCTATCTGTTGGATTGTAAAACAGATAGTCCAGTCAGGTACATAATCTTGTGCTTTTTGATTCTACAGGGAGAAAAAGGTGAACTTGGTGTTAAGGTGAGCACTGACTGTGGGGAAACAGGGTGGATGGTGGGCCAGGCATTGAGGTGGACACCATGTGGGTAGTGCCAGGATTGAGGTGGATGTTCTGGAGATATGGGCCCAGGTTAGGACTTGGCATTGAGAAAGGCTGCAAATTATTTTGATATGAAGACTGTGGTAGTGGAGTTGGGTGTTAAGATGGGCCAAGTGGACTTGGGGTCAGTATTTAATAGGTGTTTTCAGCGAAAGTGCTGTTGAGTTGTGTGGGCAGGTTTACACATGACTGCTGATAATAGTCTCTTTGAGTGTGTGCCCAGGCCATTGGCAATTGTGCTTTTCATGTGCCAACAAGAAGTGTTCACTGGGATCATTATTATCTGAAGTGCAGTGACTGACAACCAGAGTGACTATTCTTTTTAAGAACACAAGACTAGGTCCCTGAGACATGTAGAAGGCTTAAAAGCCAGAGCTATGCTGTTTAAAGAGGGGTGCACAGGAACCCACTATCCTGCAGCTTAGTTGTACTCCTGGGAATATGGATGGCAGTCACACAACCACCTGGTCTTTGCTCAGTTCTCAACCCTCCTTTACTCCAGTGAGCTGCTGTGCTTAGCACAACTGCTTCCCAGAAACATGCCTCTTGTACAGGTTAGCTCAGTGTGAAAGTGTGATGTTGATATGAGCCAGGCTGGCAGGCAGTCAGGCATGAGTGACAGCTTCCAGCAGAGGACTGTCGCTGGTACAACCCAAGGTATGGCATCACAAATGCAGCTGTCCAGATAAAGAGCCTTGAAATAGCCTGTGTTTTCCAGGCTTGTCAGTAAGGCACTTTATGCAGTGTGGCTGTCTCTTGGTCACACTTCCTCAGTAGCCAGAGGCATGTCACCTTAGATATTGAGGTGGTAGTGGTTGTTGCTGATAGTGGTGCCCACTGTATGCCAGGCCCTTCCCAGGCTCATAGATTTCATAGACATTAGGGCTGGAAGGGACCTTGGAAGATCTTCGAGTCCAGCCTTCTGCCCCAGGGGCAGGAAGTCAGCTGCGGTCACAGGATCCCAGCAAGGAAAACATCCAGGTTTCTCTTGAAGGTGTTCAAAGTAGGTGCTTGAACCACCTCCGGTGGTAAGCCATTCCAGACCCTGGGGGCTCAGACAGTAAAGAAATTCTTCCTTATGTCCAGCCTGAAATGGTCTCGCAGGAGTTTATAACCGTTTGACCTTGTCATCCCTTGGGGCGCTCTGGTGAACAAATGTTCCCTCAGGTTCTGGTGAACACCCCTTATAAACTTATAGGTGGCCATCAGGTCGCCCCTGACCCTGCGCTTTTCCAGGCTGAAAAGTCCCATGGCTCTCAGCCTGTCGTCATAAGGTCTGTTTTCCTGACCTCTGATCATGCGTGTGGACTCTCTCAAGCTTCTCCGCATCCTTTTTGAATTGTGGAGCCCAAAACTGGACGCAGTACTCCAGCTGCGGCCTCACCAAGGCTGAGTACAAGGGGAGAATGATGTCCCGGAATTTGCTTGAGAAGCATCTATAGATGCAAGCCAGCGTTTTGCTCACTTTACTGGCTGCAGCATCACATTGCAGTCTCACGTTCATATTGTGGTCAGTCCTGACCCCCAAGTCGCTCTTGTCCATAGTGCTAGTCAGCGTAGCACTGCCAAGCCTATAGACATGCCTCAGGTTTTTCCTCCCAAGGTGGAGAACCTTGAATTTTTCGGTGTTAAACACCATCAGGTTCTCATCCGTCCATTTACTGAGCCTGTCAAGGTCAGCCTGGATTACCTCCCTGTCTTCAGGTGTGGATGCTTTACCCCAAAGTTTGGTATCATCAGAGAACTTGGCCAGTCCACTTTTGACTCCAGTGTCCACATCATTAATGAAGATGTTGAACAATACAGGTCCAAGGACAGAGCCTTGGGGGACCCCACTGGTCACAGGGCACCATGACGATTGACGTCCATCAACTACCACCCTCTGGGTCGACCATGGAGCCAATTCCCCAGCCAACAGGTTGTGGTAGACCCAAGGCCACAGTTGGCCAGTTTTGCCAAAAGGTGATCATGGGATACCAGATCGAAGGCGTTTTTAAAGTCGAGATATATGACATCAATCTCTTCCCTCTTGTCCAGGTGATAGGTCACCTGGTCATAAAAGGAAATGAGATTGGTCAAGCATGAAGGATGGTTACTGCTTGGGACTCTCCAAGGATAGGGAGACAAGTAGACAGGAGTTAGGGAAGGGAAGTCTTCTGCTTCAGTCTTTGCCTGGAGAAGTTGCTGGAGGGAGACATGAGGGAAACTCATTTACTGTCACTGAGTTTCCCCTGGCTGAGCATGAAAAAGTGGAGGCTGCTGCTGAACTGTCCATGGCAGTGAGTGCGCAAAGGGGGAGATTTCACATCTTGGCAAGCCCAGAAAACTCCCAGAAACAAGGTGTTTCTTCTCCACATGAGACCAATAGAGCAAAATAAGTGGGCACTTGCTGGCAGGACCCTGCTTCCAGTGCTTTTCAAGGCCCAATGGAGGAATTTGGCTGGGCCCAGGCCTCTCAAACTATGTTCAGTGATTCATTGTTTCCCTCTTTTATCCCCAGGGAAGTGCAGGATTTGGGTATCCAGGCTCAAAGGGCCAGAAAGGCGAGCCGGGTGCTCCAGGGGATCCCGGTCCTCCTGGCCCCCCAGGGCCCTCTGGAACCATCTTGCAGCACCAGGATGGCTCTGTGGTGGAGCATGTCACTGGGCCTCCAGGAGCCGTGGGCCCCCCAGGGCTTCCCGGGAAAGATGGTCCCCCTGGCAAGGACGGAGAGCCTGTGAGTAAACCCTTCCTCCATCCAGTGCAGGGACCAGGGAGCAGCCAGGCCCTCCCCAGGGGTGTGGAGCAGCCAATACCCTCCAGCCACAGGAGGCTACAGCAGGGCAGGAAGATGTCCTGACTGGTACTGCTGAAATCCCAACAACGTCTGCAGTGGCAGTGGGAAGGTCATTGAGGGATGGTGAATGGGGAGGCTTTGGGCCTGTTGACCGGCACAGCCTGTGGGGGATTCCTGGGGGGGGCACATTTGAGCTCTGTAGAAGCAGCAATATGTCTTTATTTGCAGCCTTTCCAGGCCTCTCTCTTATTTATTCTTTCTACTCTGTGTTGGCTCTAGGGGGATCCTGGTGAAGACGGCAAGCCTGTAAGTGTTACTACTTGTATCTACCATCCAAACCCATTGTGCTTGTGTTAGGGCCTTGTTACACTGTAATTTTGGGAGCTCTTAATCTCTGGCTTGTCCTCATATTAATACCTGAAACTGTTTTAAACACTCACTAGGCAGCTCAAAGTGATACCAGTCCAGGGCAGGATTGTCTCTGATCCATGTTACCCGGTTTGTGTTACACTAAGGTGCAGCCACTCTAGGCTACACCTTAGTGTAAACACTCCACCCCCTATTTCTCCTCCCATCTCAGGCTCCACCTCTGTTTACTGTTGGCTCCCTTAGCATGGTATTGCCTATGCATTTCATTTATTTA